CAGTTTTCCAGTAGCAGCACCTGCCGTGACCCAGCACTGCTGCTGGCTGTTCTCCAGTAGCAACACCTGGCGTGACCCAGCACTGCTGCTGACTGCTCTCCAGTAGCAACACCTGGCGTGACCCAGCACTGCTGCTGACTGTTCTCCAGTAACAACACTTGGCGTGACCTAGCACTGCTGCTGACTGTTCTCCAGTAGCAACACCTGGCGTGACCCAGCACTGCTGCTGACTGTTCTCAAGTAGCAACACCTGGCGTGACCCAGCACTACCACTGACTGTTCTCCAGTAGCAACACCTGGCGTGACCCAGCACTACTACTGACTGTTCTCCAGTAGCAACACCTGGCGTGACCCAGCACTACTACTGACTGTTCTCCAGTAGCAACACCTGGCGTGACCCAGCACTACCACTGACTGTTCTCCAGTAGCAACACCTGGCGTGACCCAGCACTACTGCTGACTGTTCTCCAGTAGCAACACCTAGCGTGACCCAGCACTGCTGCTGACTCTTCTCCAGAAGCAGTACCTGGCTTTACCCAGCACTGCTGCTGACTGCTCTCCAGTAGCAGCACCTGGCGTGACCCAGCACTACCACTGACTGTTCTCCAGTAGCAACACCTGGCGTGACCCAGCACTACTACTGACTGTTCTCCAGTAGCAACACATGGCGTGACCCAGCACTGCTGCTGACTGTTCTCCAGTAGCAACACCTAGCGTGACCCAGCACTGCTGCTGACTCTTCTCCAGAACCAGTACCTGGCTTTACCCAGCACTGCTGCTGACTGCTCTCCAGTAGCAGCACCTGGCGTGACCCAGCACTACTACTGACTGTTCTCCATTAGCAACACCTGGCGTGGCCAGCACTGCTGCTGATGTTCTCCAGTAGCAGCACCTGGCGTGACCCAGCACTACTACTGACTGTTCTCCAGTAGCAACACCTGGCGTGGCCCAGCACTGCTGCTGACTGTTCTCCAGTAGCAACACTGGCGTGGCCCAGCACTACTACTGACTGTTCTCCAGTAGCAACACCTGGCGTGACCCAGCACTGCTGCTGACTGTTCTCCAGTAGCAACACCTGGCGTGGCCCAGCACTACTACTGACTGTTCTCCAGTAGCAACACCTGGCGTGGCCCAGCACTACTACTGACTGTTCTCCAGTAGCAACACCTGGCGTGACCCAGCACTGCTGCTGACTGTTCTCCAGTAGCAACACCTGGCGTGGCCCAGCACTACTACTGACTGTTCTCCAGTAGCAGCACCTGGCGTGACCCAGCACTACTACTGACTGTTCTCCAGTAGCAACACCTGGCGTGGCCCAGCACTGCTGCTGACTGTTCTCCAGTAGCAACACCTGGCGTGGCCCAGCACTACTACTGACTGTTCTCCAGTAGCAACACCTGGCGTGACCCAGCACTGCTGCTGACTGTTCTCCAGTAGCAACACCTGGCGTGACCCAGCACTGCTGCTGACTCTTCTCCAGTAGCAGTACCTGGCTTTACCCAGCACTGCTGCTGACTGCTTTCCAGTAGCAACACCTGGCGTGACCCAGCACTGCTGCTGACTGTTCTCCAGTAGGAGTACCTGGCGTGACCCAGCACTGCTGCTGACTCTTCTCCAGTAGCAACACCTGGCGTGACCCAGCACTACTGCTGATTGTTCTCGAGTAGCAGCACCTGGCGTGACCCAGGACTGCTGCTGACTGTTCTCCAGTAGCAGTACCTGGCGTGACCCAGCACTGCTGCTGACTGTTCTCCAGTAGCAACACCTGGCGTGACCCAGCACTACTGCTGATTGTTCTCGAGTAGCAGCACCTGGCGTGACCCAGGACTGCTGCTGACTGTTCTCCAGTAGCAACACCTGGCGTGATCCAGCACTGCTGCTGACTGTTCTCCAGTAGCAACACCTAGCGTGACCCAGCACTGCTGCTGACTCTTCTCCAGTAGCAGTACCTGGCTTTACCCAGCACTGCTGCTGACTGCTCTCCAGTAGCAACACCTGGCGTGACCCAGCACTACTACTGACTGCTCTCCAGTAGCAACACCTGGCGTGACCCAGCACTACTACTGACTGTTATCCATTAGCAACACCTGGCGTGACCCAGCACTGCTGCTGACTGTTCTCCAGTAGGAGTACCTGGCGTGACCCAGCACTGCTGCTGACTCTTCTCCAGTAGCAACACCTGGTGTGACCCAGCACTACTGCTGACTGTTCTCCAGTAGCAGCACCTGGCGTGACCCAGGACTGCTGCTGACTGTTCTCCAGTAGCAACACCTGGCGTGACCCAGCACTGCTGCTGACTGTTCTCCAGTAGCAACACCTAGCGTGACCCAGCACTGCTGCTGACTCTTCTCCAGTAGCAGTACCTGGCTTTACCCAGCACTGCTGCTGACTGCTCTCCAGTAGCAACACCTGGCGTGACCCAGCACTACTACTGACTGTTCTCCAGTAGCAACACCTGGCGTGACCCAGCACTACTTCTGACTGTTCTCCAGTAGCAACACATGGCGTGACCCAGCACTGCTGCTGACTGTTCTCCAGTAGCAACACCTGGCGTGACCCAGCACTACTGCTGACTGCTCTCCAGTAGCAACACCTGGCGTGACCCAGCACTGCTGCTGACTGTTCTCCAGTAGCAACACCTGGCGTGACCCAGCACTGCTGCTCTTCTCCAGTAGCAGTACCTGGCTTTACCCAGCACTGCTGCTGACTGCTCTCCAGTAGCAACACCTGGCGTGACCCAGCACTACTGCTGACTGTTCTCCAGTAGCAGCACCTGGCGTGACCCAGGACTGCTGCTGACTGTTCTCCAGTAGCAACACCTGGCGTGACCCAGTACTGCTGCTGACTCTTCTCCAGTAGCAACACCTAGCGTGACCCAGCACTGCTGCTGACTCTTCTCCAGTAGCAGTACCTGGCTTTACCCAGCACTGCTGCCGACTGTTCTCCAGTAGCAACACCTGGCGTGACCCAGCACTACTACTGACTGTTCTCCAGTAGCAACGCCTGGCGTGACCCAGCACTGCTGCTGACTGTTCTCCAGTAGCAACACCTGGCGTGACCCAGCACTACCACTGACTGTTCTCCAGTAGCAACACCTGGCGTGGCCCAGCACTACTACTGACTGTTCTCCAGTAGCAACACCTGGCGTGACCCAGCACTGCTGCTGACTGTTCTCCAGTAGCAACACCTGGCGTGGCCCAGCACTACTACTGACTGTTCTCCAGTAGCAACACCTCGCGTGACCCAGCACTGCTGCTGACTGTTCTCCAGTAGCAACACCTGGCGTGACCCAGCACTACTGCTGACTGTTCTCCAGTAGCAGCACCTGGCGTGACCCAGGACTGCTGCTGACTGTTCTCCAGTAGCAACACCTGGCGTGACCCAGCACTGCTGCTGACTGCTCTCCAGTAGCAACACCTGGCGTGACCCAGCACTACTACTGACTGTTCTCCATTAGCAACACCTGGCGTGACCCAGCACTGCTGCTGACTGTTCTCCAGTAGCAACACCTGGCTTTACCCAGCACTGCTGCTGACTGTTCTCCATTAGCAACACCTGGCGTGACCCAGCACTGCTGCTGACTGTTCTCCAGTAGCAACACCTGGCGTGACCCAGCACTGCTGCTGACTGTTCTCCAGTAACAACACCTTTCGTGACCCAGCTGCTGCTGACTGTTCTCCAGTAGCAACACCTGGCGTGACCCAGCACTACTACTGACTGTTCTCCAGTAGCAACACTTGGCGTGACCCAGCACTGCTGCTGACTGTTCTCCAGTAACAACACCTGGCGTGACCCAGCACTGCTGCTGACTGTTCTCCAGTAACAACACCTGGCGTGACCCAGCACTACTGCTGACTGTTCTCCAGTAACAACACCTGGCGTGACCCAGCACTGCTGCTGACTGTTCTCCAGTAACAACACCTGGCGTGACCCAGCACTACTGCTGACTGTTCTCCAGTAACAACACCTGGCGTGACCCAGCACTGCTGCTGACTGTTCTCCAGTAACAACACCTGGCGTGACCCAGCACTGCTGCTGACTGTTCTCCAGTAACAACACCTGGCGTGACCCAGCACTGCTGCTTGACTGTTCTCCAGTAACAACACCTGGCGTGGCCCAGCACTGCTGCTGACTGTTCTCCAGTAACAACACCTGGCGTGACCCAGCACTACTACTGACTGTTCTCCAGTAACAACACCTGGCGTGACCCAGCACTACTACTGACTGTTCTCCAGTAACAACACCTGGCGTGACCCAGCACTACTACTGACTGTTCTCCAGTAGCAACACCTGGCGTGACCCAGCACTGCTGCTGACTGTTCTCCAGTAGCAACACCTGGCGTGACCCAGCACTGCTGCTGACTGTTCTCCAGTAGCAGCACCTGGCGTGACCCAGCACTACTACGGACTGTTCTCCAGTAACAACACCTGGCGTGACCCAGCACCACCAACCTCGTCACACATTCATCACATCCGTCATCTCTAACAATAGAATCATCTTCGCTGCCACTACTAATAATAACATTATTGGATAAGACCGCTGCCGACCCCACCACCACCATCAACGCCATTGCCACCATCACCAACTCCACTACCACCATCACCAGCTCCACTACCACCATCACCAGCTCCACTACCACCATCACCAGCTCCACTACCACCATCACCATATAGCCATCATGGTGCAGTTGACTGTGGCGACTAACCGAACAAATGGTTTAGTGTTTAGCAGAGAGCGTTGAATATGTAGACCACCATCTTCCTGACCACATTCCACTGACCATCTCCCTCCTGACCATCTTACTGGGACAATTTGCCTGCTTTTGTACTCGTGTTGGTATACATCATACCACACTAGGTCTCCCTTCCGTCCTGGTACCACCATTCCACACAGTTCCCCTCCCCTCCGCATCTCCCGGAACACACCATGCACAGCTGACTCTTACCTAAGTGCAGGTATCACCATCAACAACTATCACCACCGCTCTGAGAATGTTACCATGCACCATTTTGCAACTTCCGGTGACTACGTGAGAAATCCGTTGCCCGCGGCGGCGGTGGCGGTGACGGCGGCGGGCATTTGGGTGAGAGGAGTGTTCACAAACACGCAACTCCACAACACTCATGCAATTATCACTCATGTATGGAGAAGGGCTACAAGGGTCAGTTAGGTAGTGTCTCCTGCCACCTACCCACTCAACACCCACTCACTGCCCATTCACACCCAGTCTCACCACCCACCCGCACCCACTCACCACCCATTCACACCCACTTACCACCCATTCACACCCACTCACCACCCATTCACACCCACTCACCAGCCATTCACACCCATTCACCACCCACCTATTCCCACCACCCATCAATGAGGGTCTCTGCGAATTTTTAGAATTGGCAGTGGGGAGGGTGTGATGGAGGTGGTAGTAGTGTTGATAGTAGTAGTAGTGGTGGTGACAGTAGTGTTGGTAATAGTAGTAGTGGTGGCGGTAGTAGTGTTGGTAATAGTAGTGGTGGTAAATAAATAACAAAAATGCACAATACCGTGACTGGAACGATACACAAATAACCCGCACATAAAAGAGAGAAGCTTACGACGACGTTTCGGTCCGACTTGGACCATTGACAGTCACACTAACAGAGGTGGAGCAGGACGGCTATATATAGGCAGGAAGAGGTGGAGGTAGTAGTAGTAGTTAGTAGTAGTAGTACTACTACTACTACTACTACTACTACTACTACTACTACTACTACTACTACTACTACTACTACTACCTCCACCTCTACCTGCCTATATATAGCCGTCCTGCTCCACCTCTGTTAGTGTGACTTTGTCAATGGTCCAAGTCGGACCGAAACGTCGTCGTAAGCTTCTCTCTTTTATGTGCGGGTTATTTGTGTATAGTGGTGGTAATAGTAGTGTTGGTAATAGTAGTAGTTGTGGTGGTAGTAGTGTTAGTAATAGTAGTAGTGGTGGTAGTAGTGTTGGTAGTGGTAGCGGTAGTGGAGGTGGTAGTAGTGTTGGTAATTGTAGTCGTGGTGGTGGTAGTAGTTTTGGTAATAGTAGTAGTGGTGGTGGTAGTAGTTTTGGTAATAGTAGTAGTGGTGGTGGTAGCAGTGTTGGTGGTGGTAGTGTTGGTAATAGTAGTGGTGGTGGTGGTGTTCTTAATAGTAGTAGTGGTAGTAGCATTGGTAATGGTAGTAGTGGTGGTGGTGGTAGTAGTGGTGTTGGCGGTGGTAGTGGAGGTGGTAATAGTGTTTACCTGGAGAGGGTTTCGGGGGTCAACGCCCCCGCGGCTCGGTCTGAGACCAGGCCTCGTGGTGGATCAGGGTCTGATCAACCAGGCTGTTACTGCTGGCCGCACGCAAGCTGACGTACGAACAACAGCCGGGTTGGTCAGGTACAGACTTTAGGTGCCTGTCCAGTGCCTTCTTGAAGACAGCCAGAGATGTATTGGTAATCCCCCTTATGTATGCTGTGAGGCAATTGAACAGTCTTGGGCCCCGGACACTTACTCTGTTGTCTCTCAATGTACTCGTGGCGCCTCTGCTTTTCATCGGGGGAACGTTGCATCTCCTGCCGAGTCTTTTGCTTTCATAGGGAGTGATTTTCGTGTGCAGGTTTGGTACCAATCCCTCCAGGACCTTCCAAGTGTAAATTATCATGTATCTCCCACGCCTGCGTTCCAGGGAATAGAGATCAAGGACCTTCAACCATCCCCATTAATTTAGGTGCCTTATCGTACTTACGTGTGCAGTGAAAGTTCATTGTACATTCTCCAGGTCTGCTATGTCGCCAGCCTTGAAGGGGGCCGTTAGTGTACAGTATTCCAGCCTAGAGAGCACAAGTGATTTGAAGAGAATCATCATAGGCTTGGAGTTCCTAGTTTTGAAGGTTCTCATTATCCATCCTATCGTTTTCCTAGCAGATGAGGTAGATACATTGTTGTGTTCTTTGAAGACGAGATCCTCTGACATTATCACTCCTAGGTCGTTCACATTACTTTTCCGCTCTATTGTATGGTTAGAATTTGTCGTATACCCTGATACATTTTTAATTTCCTCAAGTTTCCCATATCTGAGTAGTTGAAAATTCTCCTCCTCCTGATGGGTATCTAAGTGGTTGGCGATCTTGCTTCTTAGAACCCTCTCAAAGATTTTTATGATGTGAGATGTTAGTGCTATCGATCTGTAGTTCTTTGCAATTGCTTCACTGCAACCTTTGTGGAGTGGGGCTATGTCTGTTGTTTTTAGTGTGTGTAGGATGACCTGTGTCCATGTTCCCTCTCCATAAAATGCTGAAGGCACGCGATAGGGGCTTCTTTCAATCCTTGAGGAACACGGAGTTCCATGAGTTTGGGCCTGGGGCAGAGTGCATGGGCATGCCATTTATTGCTTTTTAAAAGTCCTGTGGAGTTAGGATAATATCCGAGATTTTTGAGATGGCCATGTTGGTAATAGTAGTAGTGGTGGTAGTAGTAGTGTTGGTAATAGTAGTAGTGGTGGTAGTAGTGTTGGTAATAGTAGTAGTGGTGGTAGTAGTAGTGTTGGTAATAGTAGTAGTAGTGTTGGTAGTAGTGTTGGTAATAGTAGTGGTGGTGGTGGTGGAAGTGGTGATAGTACTGAGAGTTACATAGTGGGAACACACGTAAACTGTGTTCTATTTATAATCCATCACAGAAGAAAGTATATAGTTACATGAGGTGAAGACAAGTGTGGGGCTGAGGTGAGAGACACATCTAGCAGCACATCCTCCAGTAGTCACTGACAATCTCTTACCTACACATACTACAAAAGTTTTGTTTGAACAGCACAGCAGTTTCTATCACTTGGGAATTACTTAACTCAGAATGGTCTGCCTTGCACACGGTGGGAGAGGAATTAATTTATATAGATATGATTATTATCATCATCGTCGTCAGAGGAAGCTGAAATCTATGTATCACTGTGGGTTATGTGATATTAATAAAGAAAATAACCTGAGAGGAGGTGGAGAGACTCCAAGAAGACTTGAACACCGGCGAACGTGGTCAAGGTGATAACTTGAATTAAATCTTGACAAGTGCACGGTAATAAAAATAGCAGAGTTAGTGAGAACAGATGCGGAATACGCTGTGGGAGGAGAGATGCTGTACACAGTGTTGGCCAGGAGACAGATCTCGCAGTAAACCTTTACCAGGCACCTCACCAGAAACACACACAAATCGTATAATTTCATTGGCATATACAAGACAAGCTAACATAACAGCTGCTTGCTGGAACCTATCATTTTTTTCTTGCAGTTCCCATAAAAAACATTGTTGTGCTATTTGAAGGTGAGATCTCCGGACATTATATATCCCAGGTCTCTCACATTTGTCTAACGTTCTCCTGAGCGCTTTGATTCTGTTTTGTACTTCGATGTTCTTTTTATTTCCTATATTGTCTTTTCCTCTCTCGTTGAGATATATATGACAGAGGTGTATTCTTCCCTGTCCTGTAGTGCTTTGTTCTTTTATTCCCTGTCTTGCACTACCTGCCCTGCTGTCTTGCACTACCTGCCCTGCTGTCTTGCACTACCTGCCCTGATGTTTCTTGCCTACCTGCCCGACTGTCCCGTGCACTACCTGCCCTGTCTTGCACGACCTGCCCTGCTGTCTTGCACTACCTGCCCTGCTGTCTTGCACTACCTGCCCGACTGTCTTGCACTACCTGTCCTGCTTTCTTGCCCTAACTATCCTGCTGTCATTGCGACTACTGTGTCCTGCTTCTGTACTACCTGTCCTGCTGTCTTGCACACCTGCCCTGCTGTCTGTGCATACCTGGTCCTGCCTGACTTGCACTACTACCTGCCCTTGCTGTCCTTTGCACTACTGCCCCTTCTGTCTTGCACTAACCCCTGCCCGACTGTCTTGCACTACCTGTCCTGCTGTCTTGCACTACCTATCCTGCTGTCTTGCACTACCTGTCCTGCTGTCTTGTACTACCTATCCTGCTGTCTTGCACTACCTGTCCTGCTGTCTTGCACTACCTGTCCTGCTGTCTTGCACTACCTGCCCTGCTGTCTTGCACTACCTGCCCTGCTGTCTTGCACTACCTGTCCTGCTGTCTTGCACTACTGCCCTGCTTGTCTTGCCTACCTGACCCAGCTGTCTTCCCCTACCTGCCCGCTTCTTGCACTACTATCCTGCCCTGCTTGTCCTTGCACTACCTGTCCTGCTGTCTTGCACTACCTATCCTGCTTGTCTTGCACTACCTGCCCTGCTGTCTGCCCTAGGGAAACCTGTCCTGCTGTCTTTAGCACTACCTATCCTGCTGTCTTGCACTTACCGTCGCTTGCTGTCTTCACTACCTATCCTGCTTCTTGAGGCACTACCTATCCAGCTGTCTTGCACTACCTGTCCTGCTGTCTTGCACTACCGATCCTGCTGTCTTGTCCACACTATCCTGCAGTCTTGACAACCAGCCCTGCTGTCTGCACTACCTGTCCTGCTTCTTGCACTACCTGCCCTGCTGTCTTGCACTAACCTCCCTATACTGTCTTGCACTAACTGCCCCCTTTGGGCCCCCTGTCTTTCACTACCTCCCAGCTGTCTTGCACTACCTGCCCTGCTGTCTTGTACTACCTGCCCTGCTGTCTGTATCTGACCTACCCTGCTGGTCATGCACCTACTGCCCTGCTGTCTTGCAACAACCTGCCCTGCTGACTTGTACTACCTACCCTGCTGTCCATTGTACTACCCTGCCCAGCTTTCCTTGCACTACCTGCCCTGCTGTCTTGCCTTACCCTGTCCGCTGCTGTCTTGCACGTAGTGCACCTTCCTGCTGTCTTGCACTACCTGCCTGCTGTCTTGCACTACCTGCCCCTGGCTGTCTTGCACTACCTACCTGCTCACTTTGCTCTACCTGCCCTCTGTCTTGCACTACCTTTCCCTGCTGTCTAGCACTACCTGCCCTGCTGTCTTGCACTACCTGTCCTGCTGTCTTGCACTACCTGTCCTGCTGTCTTGCACTACCTACCCTGCTGTCTTGTACTACCTACCCTGCTGTCTTTGTACTAACCCTACCACTGCTGTCTTGCACTACCCTGCCCTGCCTGTCTAGCACT